CTTCTTTTCATTTGGCGAAGGCCCTTAGCCTTAAAGTGTGTTATTTTGAACTTATCGAATTTGCAGCCCGTCGTCGTTCGGTCTAGGTCGAACTCTTCTTTTCATTTGGCGAAGGCCCTTAGCCTTAAAGTGTGTTATTTTGAACTTATCGAATTTGCAGCCCGTCGTCGTTCGGTCTAGGTCGAACTCTTCTTTTCATTTGGCGAAGGCCCTTAGCCTTAAAGGGTGTTATTTCGAACTTATCGAAATAGCAGTGCGTTGTAGTTCGATATAGGTCGAACTTTTCTTTTCATTCGGCGAAGGCCCTTAGCCTTAAAGGGTATTATTTCCAACTTATCAAAATTGCAGCGCGTCTTCCTTCGATCTAGGTCGAACTCTTCTTTTCATATGGTGAAGGACCTTAGCCTTAAAGGGTGTTATTTCGAACTTATCGAAATAGCAGCCCCTCGTCATTCGATCTAGGTCGAACTCTTCTTTTCATTTGGCAAAGGCCCTTAGCCTTAAAGGGTGTTATTTTGAACTTATCGAAATAGCAGCCCGTCATCGTTCGATCTAGGTCGAACTCTTCTTTTCATTTGGAGAAGGCCCTTAGCCTTATAGGGTGTTATTTCGAACTTATCGAAATTGCAGCCCGTCGTCCTTCGAACTAGGTCGAACTCTTCTTTTCATTTGGCGAAGGCCCTTAGCCTTAATGGGTGTTATTTCGAACTTACCGAAATAGCAGCCCGTTGTAGTTCGATCTAGGTCGTACTCTTCTTTTCATTTTGCGAAGGCCCTTAGCCTTAAAGGGTGTTATTTCGAACTTATCGAAATTGCATCCCGTCGTTGTTCGATCTAGGTCGAACTCTTCTTTTCATTTGGCAAAGTCCCTTAGCCTTAAAGGGTGTTATTTCGAACTTATCGAAATAGCAGCCCGTCGTCGTTCGTTCTAGATCGAACTCTTCTTTTTTTTTTGGCGAAGGCCCTAAGCCTTAAAGGGTGTTATTTCGAACTTATCGAAATAGCAGCCCATCGTCGTTCGATCTAAGTCGAACTCTTCTTTTCATTTGGCGAAGGCCCTTAGCCTTAAAAGGTGTTATTTCGAACTTATCGAAATTGCAGCCCGTCGTCGTTCGATCTAGGTCGAACTATTCTTTTCCTTTGGCGAAGGCCCTTATTCTTGAAGGGTGTTATTTCGAACTTATTTAAATTGCAGCCAGTCGTCGTTCGATCTAGGTCGAATTGTTCTTTTCATTTGGCGAAGGCCCTTTGCCTTAAAGGGTATTATTTCGAACTTATCGAATAGCAGCCCTTTGTCGTTCGATCTAGGTCGAACTCTTGTTTTCATTTGGTGAAGGCCCTTAGCCTTAAAGGGTGTTATGTCGAACTTATCGAAATAGCAGCCCGTCGCAGTTGGATCTAGGTTGAACTGTTCTTTTCATTNACCCCCATCCCCAAACCCAAACCACAAAAGAAAAACCCAAAACAAAAAGGGCCAAAATATACCCATGTACCATTAGAAAAGGTTTCTATATATCACTCGTTATACTTTGGGTTCAAATACACTTTTGTCGTAATACTATTGGTTCAAATATAACCAACTTCCATTAAGTATATCTAAGGAGGACATCCAATCATATGTGGCATTGACATTTGATAAGGTGAAGCCATCATGAACAATATTAAATTTTTAGTTAGTGAACTCAGATCAAATCGAAGTATCTGAACCGTATAAGACTGTATGTTGCCTATCTGCAGATGCTCTGAGCACCTGGGTCTACAAAAAAATTAGTTTATTGGTCACCCATAATATCACGCACACTAGTAGAACATAAAGAGATTATTTAGTTTCTCAAGAAAGAGAACTTCACCTGAAATACAAGAAGCTTCGCATTGTATTGAATCCAATGCGACGATGAATGGAGAAACAAACATATATAAAAGACTAAACTTTGAAATATAATATTGCTCATGGTGACAGTAATAGTAGCAATGATGGTGAAGGGGAAGGAAATTTTAGTGGTGAAAAAAAATAAAAGGGAAGGGTAAAACGGATTAGGGGCACTGAAGTGACATGTCACATGACATCCACCTCGTCAAATGTCAGTATCAATTGGATGTCTGCCTTGGACAAACCTAAAGAAAGAGAGGTATATTTGAACCAATCGTATAACCACAAGGATATACTTGAACATAACGTATAACAAGGGTACATTTAAATCTTTTTTCACAATACAAGGGTTTAAAGGGGAGAATAAAATAATTATTTAAACAAATACTTAAAAGAAATACATATGCTAATCAAGTACAAGGCCGAAAGATGCTGTGATTCCGCAATAAAAGCACAAAAATAGTAAAAAAGAAAAAAAGAAATCATCTCTGTCACCTTCTTCGATCAACCGGTTGTCTCCTCCGTGGCCATCCCGAGTGTAAGTAACTGTTTCATCTATCTGGGGTTTATGCTTTCTTTAGTGGGGTTTCTCTCTTTTCTAATTTTTCCTTTTAGTTTTTCTCATTGCCCAGATGATTAATAGTTGCTTTTAGCCCTTGTTTATGCCCGAATATTTCCTTTAATTTGAGATAAAACAACTATTTCAGCCTTATTGTTTTGCTAATTGCTTTCATTCTTTGCTTCCTACTAGCTATAACATTCTCAGCTTCTATTGTTGTTATTTCATATTCCTAAAAGATGCATCTGCTGAAACTTTTGGTTGTTCATGCAGCTAGAGACCAAAATCTTGTACCTCAAATTAAACAGTTAATCTCTTGGAAACATGACACAACAAATTATCTTTGGTGTCGATCAATCAACTATGCCTCAATCCCATTTTAGTAGGGGTCGGCTTTATGAATCTTCACTACTCATTCAATATTTGAATGTCTTATCTTAGTTAAAATATTTTACAACCCCCTCCTTTATCTAGCTTCGGGCCAATCGCCACCCTAATTCTAGGAAAAATGGTTGATAGTCACATGATTGAGCATCTAACCAGAGGCGGATCTAGAATATACGCTCTATGGGTTCAGCCTTTAAGGTTTTTAGCATTGAACCCAATGTATTTTTAATTATGTTCATATCTCTTATTTGTTGCAATTTTAGTGGGTTTTTTATAAATTTATGCTCCGCGTCGAAAATCTGGGTTTTGATGAACCCGGTATCAATACACTACATCTGCCTCTGCGTCTAACTTAGGTTGTAAAGGAGGCTTCCATCAATGGGAAGCGAAATAGAGGAGAAACAAAGAGGCACTAGAGCTATGTGCTAGGGATAAAGTGACAAAAAACTGCATAGTGATGGATAACGTTTGGAGCTTTATCTATGTGTAGTAGATATCTTACTGCACATGGAGAGCAGGTCTACCAGCTTAGCTTTAGTCTTCTCGTGTGAAACAACAATCTAATCAGATCTATGAAAACGATCATCAATGCACAATCATACTCTAGGTGAATTAGTGACATTAGTTATATAGGACTAGACACATGTTGCAAACCTTTCTTAGTTTGGCCAACCTATGTTAGAAATACACTTCATTTTTGTCAGATGTATCGATGAGAATACACTTATTTTTTTATGAGTATCCATGACAACGTATATGACATGGTCAATGAAGTGGGATTGGAGGCCAAAGTTTGAACCGCAGTAGAGGCAAAAATTACTTGGTACTTATGCTGGTAGGAGCATTGGGAGGTAGCAGGTACTCGGTGGAATAGTCGGGTGCATCATAGCTGGCGCGAACACTACTGTATCTAGGTAGATAAAAATTGAGTATAGCTGGATAGGGTACATACCCATTCCAAATTTCATACAGGAGATAATCTTTTCATTGCTTTTAATTGAATTGAATGTCCTCATAATGTGGATAATTTTTTTAATCAGACATCTCCTTAGTCCTTTTAGTACTACTCATCATGATACAACTGATTTTTTCTGGATATTTGGTTTTTTGTGATGCAGGCAACCTTTTGTTTTTTCTGATGCAGGCAGCCTTTTGGTTTTCATTATGAAGGCACTCATCCTCGTAGGGGGTTTTGGAACAAGGCTGAGGCCGCTGACCCTCAACGTGCCAAAGCCCCTAGTTGACTTTGCTAACAAGCCCATGATAGTACATCAGGTTTCGTGTTATCACCACACTCCCTTCTGTTTATGATGGATCATGAGTTCCTGATTCCTCTATTATTTTGTTGTTCTTTCGTTCTTTTGATCTTTAGCCTCATCTACCATCCTTTGGACTAAAACACACCCTTTTTTCTATTAAACTCGAATGTTATCTTACCATTGGTATTAGTAGTATGTTGAATCAAAACCATTCAGTTAGTTTCTCGCTTCTTCTATTCTCCTGATGGCAAGGCTGAGGCCGCAGACCCTCAACGTGCCAAAGCCCCTAGTTGACTTTGCTAACAAGCCCGTGATACTACATCAGGTTTCGTGTTATCACCACACTCCCTTTTGTTTATGATGGATCATAATAAGTTCCTGATTCCTCTATTATTTTGTTGTTCTTTGGTACTTTTGATCTTTAGCCTCATCCACCATCCTTTGGACTAAAACACACCTTGTTTTTCTATTAAACTCGAATGTTATCTTACCATTGGTATTAGTAGCATGTTGAATCAAAACCATTCAGTTAGTTTCTCGCTTCTTCTATTCTCCTGATGGCATACATTGTTTGATAGCTAGTTGAGTATGTATGTTGCCATGATATACAAATATAACGGACATACCTCTCCTGCTTGGGACTGAGGCGTAGTTGTAGTTGTTGTTGTTGGTACTAAAGCACTACATAAGTTTCTAATGGAAGCTTTATTATGCCTGAGTTGTTGTAAATCTAATTTTAAGCAGATTGAAGCACTAAAAGCCATTGGAGTGACTGAAGTAGTTTTGGCAATTAGCTACCAGCCGAAGGTAAAGCTAAACCCCATAGTTACCAGAAAATTTAGTTCTTATAAAACTATTCAATGTTATAAGGAAAATGTCTTATCCTTTTCATTTTAGACAATGGAAAACTTCTTGAAAGAGTTCGAGAAAAAGTTAGATATCAAGATCACTTGCTCGGAAGAGACAGAGCCTTTGGGCACAGCAGGGCCACTGGCTTTAGCTCGTCATATATTGAGAGATGACTCTGATGAGCCCTTTTTCGTCCTCAATAGTGATGTTATATGTGACTACCCGTTGAAAGAAATGATTGAGTTTCACAAATCCCATGGTGGGCAAGCTTCCATTATGGTTACGAAGGTTAGAAACTCCTTGTATCTTTTACTTTTCTATATGCATTAAAAGGAAATAATTTTGTAATGCATTTTCTCTGTTAGGTTGATGAACCATCAAAATATGGTGTGGTCGTCATGGAAGAAGGGACTGGGAGAGTCGAAACGTTTGTAGAAAAACCAAAAATATTCGTGGGTAACAAGATCAACGCTGGAATTTACTTGTTGAACCCTTCTGTTTTGGATCGGATTGAGTTGAGGCCCACCTCAATCGAGAAGGAGGTCTTCCCCAGCATTGCAGCAGAGAAGAAGCTCCACGCCATGGTTCTACCCGGGTTTTGGATGGACATTGGTCAGCCAAAGGATTACATTACAGGCTTGAGACTGTACCTGGATTCCTTGAGGAAAAGGTCCTCACCTGATTTGGGTGTTGGGCCACATATTCTTGGAAACGTGTTAATAGACGAGAGTGCTGTAATAGGAGATGGATGTCTTATTGGCCCAGATGTGGCGATTGGTCCCGGATGTGTTATTGAATCTGGAGTTAGGCTTTCATGTTGTACTATAATGCGTGGTGTACGAATTAAAAAGCATGCCTGCATCTCATTTAGCATTGTTGGATGGCACTCAACTGTTGGGCGATGGGCTCGAGTAGAGAACATGACAATCTTAGGAGAAGATGTTCATGTTGGCGATGAAGTCTACAGCAGTGGAGGTGTTGTTCTACCGCACAAAGAGATAAAATCCAGCATTCTGAAGCCAGAGATTGTCATGTGAACAAAAATTGATTGTATGATGTGGTACTTTCTGGAAACTAAAGTGAAGAACACTGTTCTGTTCAAGGTTTTTCCATTTGTTTTTTTTTTGATAAGGTGAAGATTTTATTAAAAACAGTATCAAGCTGATACTGTAAAAATACAAGGATATTGCTGGCTTAAAAGCATTAAAATCCTAAGCGGTCTAGCATGCCCAGCATATCATGAAAATTCATAACAACATTTCCATCTTTCCAATAGTACAAATAATGTAAACAACTGTATTTCACATATTGCAGCTGCTCCTTCTTGCCTTCAAAACACCTATTATTTCTTTCTTTCTATATTGTCCAAGCTATGCTAAGAGGAATATCTCTCCAAATCTTCTTTAAGGATGCTTCTGGACATGCAGGTTCCCAACACTCTAATATATTCCTGAATTTCTTAGGACTTGCCCAAAGGATGCCAAAGTTAGCCGTGAACATGGACCACACCTGCCAAGTAAATTCACAATGCAAAAAAAGATGGTCCACGGATTCACAAGATTTCTCACACAAGTAACACCTGCTGCACATTATCCAACCCCTTCTCATCAAATTTTCCTGAGTCAGACATGCTTCATGTGCTACTAGCCAACCAAAACATGCCACTTTTGATGGGACTGTAGTCTTCCAAATCATCTTCCAAGGCCACTTTTGTGCTTGCACCGGCTGGGTAGCATTTAGTATTTTGTAGAATGAACTTACAGTTAAAAAATCTTTTTTACTAGCTTTCCAGAGTAGGCTGTCTTCTTTTTCTGGCGATAACACCACTGATTGCATCTTCTTTTTCCATTTGTCAATGCTATTGACTGCGTGTTAGAACTCTATAGAGATGATTCAGTTCTATGTTATGTATCCTTTCTTTTCATGGATTGTAATATGGAAGTACATGCCATTGAGGAAAAGATAGCTGCATTATTACTACTACTGCGAGTAGTTTACAAAATATGCTGCCTATTGCCCAATTTATGTTCTTGCTAGATGACACAGAATGTAGGTTACAGGTTCGAGCTGTGAAAACAACCTTTTGCAGAAATGCAGGATAAAGCTACGTATGATAGACCCTTGTGGTTCGACCTTTCCCCGGACCCCGCGCATAGCGGGAGCTTAGTGCACTGGGCTGCCCTTATTAGAACAAGTGCTTCATTCTCTGTTTAGAAAGTTAAACTGCATTGCACTCATTAAGTGGAATACCAATCGATATAAGTGGATAGTACTGTTTGTTATGATCAATTAATGAGCACAAATCAATGAGTTTATAAATGCAAAGCTAACCTTAACGTTATGCGAGCAAAAAGTGAACATATAAAAGAAAGAAATGTGCTTTTCCACAGTGTCCAATGGCATTCAACTTCTGATTTTCAAATGTCCAGGTCATGTATGGCTAAACTGAAACTATCAAGACTCCCACCAGACCTGAATACAATTGAATTGCAGTAAGTAAAAACTACAATTCAGACGTTATAATTTACACTCGAACGAGTTCAACTGTTTAAGTGGCAGGTTTTCCAAGCAATCAACCAGTTCAGAAGAATTTCCAGTACGACCGATAAGGAAGATACAGTGACAAGATTGTGAAACTAGATTTACAAGAGACCGGTCCTTGAAGGTCGTGACTGGAATAATCTTGTGAGGGCAACCAATGCTTAAAATGTTAAACTGTGGCCAGGATCCAAAACATCACATGGGAAGAAATGGCTATAAGAAACCAGGTTATGAATGCCAAGACAACAGAGAGCTCGAATCTGCCACATGGAAGATGCGATGAACTGCTGCAGAAGTTTAAATCCTTTGAATACAAAACAGCAATCCCTGCTGACGAGCATGCAGCTGCAAGTGATAGGGTTGCTGTCACCTGTAATTGAGTTAAGTCAGTTAGCACAAATATAGTTCACATAATGTCAAACAAATTATATGGTAATTTACCCGCATGTCAATCAAGCAAAAGTAGAATCTCCTGACAGGGGTTCCAGAATCGTCGCCATAATATTGTATAAGATATTACTCTTCTAGCAGAGCTTTTAATCAATGTTTAGGAAAAGAAAAGGTTGAGAGGAACAAGATTATGGTAAAGAGCAAAGAAAAAGGAAGGATTTCTTTGAAAGACAAGGTCAAGCTAACATTATCAAATCATGTAAATAGGACATCTCATCCAGGTAAAAAAAATGTCATGTTAAGTGAAACGCGAGCGTCCAGTATAAAGCGCACATCAGAAGACAGAGGCAATGCTAGTGGTGGAGCTACATGTAATGAAAGGGGTTCAACTGAATCCTATTTGTCACAAAATAATGCTGGGCAAACAAGACAAAGATGATTCTTTTTGTACACATATATTGGTTAATTCCGTTAACATAAGGAAAGCTTTTAGTGTAGTGGCAAAGGTGGTTCAAGAACTGATTTTAGGTCATAGAAGATCACAGATTCAAAATCTAAAGTGTGGCATTCTTTTAATTTTTTTTTTATTCCCTTGCGGAATTCCTAGATCCATCCCTGGGTAATATTGTTGACACTTCAGGTCAATATGTGATAATTACAATTGCATGACAAGAATCCATGCGTAATGCTTGTAGTTCTAAAAGTGCAAGCATAATAAATTGTTTTCAGTGTCCAAAAGCACCTAATCTGAATTTGGACTGAAATATCAGCTTAGACATACAAGAGACCAACGAAACAGCAGTCTCGAGCACGTATTATGAGAACCAAGCATAAGGGCACAGAACATCGAGCACCTTGTTATTGATGCCAAGGGAGGTCAAATCATTTAGCAACTTAGTAAAAGTTGTGATGAGGGCGGAAATAAATATTCAGTTTTCAGGGACAAAATAAAATCAGGGGGATTATGTGCAAGGAAAGCTTCTTATATATGTCACAGCTAGACACATTAAACAGAGTACATAAGAAAGGAAGAAAAAAGCAAACTGAGAAGTACATACCCAGTCTCCAACAACAAAAAGGCTCACTAAGACTGGATTATGAAGATCCTGTTTTATCCTCAAAGCATACACATCAAGACACGCAAGTCCAAAACTCCACAATACTTGAAGCCCCATTGATGCAATCAAATAGCTGCAGAAAACCAAATATTCTATAAGATTTGAATGATAAAGGACAAAAGAAAGGTACACATACAAAATGAGCATAGTGATCTCCTATAATAGGAGGTCCGTTTCCGATGCAAGGATTGCCAATTCTGAAACTTGGACAAATAAATAGTGAACAGATATTGGGAATGTTGTAAAACTTGGTAAATTTGCAACAAATGGTTATTGGAACACTGCTTTACATGTACTAAATAATCAATACACAAAGGTCAGTTTGGAGGTTGATATTTGGACTTAACAGAGGATTTCAAATGTCCAAAGGTTGAAAATTTCAAATGACATTAACCCTTTAACATGAATCCAGGATAAAGGCCAAAATCAACTGTCCTTTGAGTCAGTATTCGGAACCCAAAGTTTTTACGCTTTATCCTAAGAGGTGCAAAGAATTTACGTGTATAATTTAAAACAGGTAGGATTAAGTCCCTCCATCCAAATGGGCCCAAAAATAATTCAAAAGTATATGTGCCCAAAGTTCCATTAATTTACTCGACAGCCAAATAATAAGTGACATGCATCGGCACAAAAGAGACATGGATTTTTTCAGAACAATCCATGAAAAGTAACAACAACAACAATCCCAGTGAAATCTCACAAGTGGGGTATGGGGAAGGTAGTGCGTACGCACACCTTACTCTCTCCTTGTAAAGGTAGAAACATTGTTTCCGATAGACCCTCGGCTCATGAAAAGCATAGTCACAGCATTGTTGTAAACAAGTGCATAATAGAAATAAACAGAATGACGGTGTCGGAGCCCCTGCTTGTCAAGTATCTTCAAGCAAGCAGAACTTCTTAAGACACATTGATGGTCAAGTAAGGGTAATCAAGAACTAGGAAGCAATAATTGGGACCATTGTTAGGTGTTTATATCATATGTGAAGGCCCTTAATCTAGTAATGCTCTTGCAAGATAATTTCTCATCTTTACTGGCCCATTTTTTCCTTAAACAAGGACATTTTCGTAACGACGGAGCATGTTTTCGGACTGTAAACTTATCAAAGTTAATCGTACCTCTTTTAAATCATATTGTCAGATAGATCACAACTCATAAATTAGATGCAAGCCATAAAAGATGCATAACAAGCTTAAAGTTAGTGGCTAGCACCAATGTTAAAGGATTTAATGGTTCTAGCTTGTTCTGTTTCCGAAAGGAGAGCCTTGGAGAAACGGTAAAGTTGTCTCTGTGTGACCTATACGTCACAGAGTTCGAGCCGTGGAAGCAGCCACTAATGTTTGCATTAGCCATTAGGTTAGGCTGTCTACATCACACCCCTTGGGGTGCGACCGGGCTGCCGTAGCTTGTTCTGTTTCCGAATCTGTTCTCAGCTCTCTTTTGAGAATAAATGGACATTCCACACAACTTCATAAAAGTTGTAACTACTACAATAATTTGACCTCTAACGTAATTAGAAGAAAAAAAAAGATAGATAAGATGCAGCAATACAACATACAAATGAACATTAGAAGCATTGATTCATCAACAAATTTGCTGGAAAAGAATTGAAGAAGAAATCTAAAAAAAAGAGAGAGAAATGCATACCAAAAAGCAGTGTAATTAGAGAACCCAGAAGCAGAAACCATGAACACAATTGACCCAACTGCAAACAAACATTGGCCAAGTCTCAAAAACAATCCACTCACACTTCCTGGACTACCCACCAGCTCTTTCATCCTCTAAAAAAATTTGCAAATTTGACACCTTTTATGCTCCAAAAAAGGGCCCTTTTTTCCCCCAAAAAAACTAAAAGGGCCCTTTCAAGATCCTTAGATTCCTGTAGTATTTCCCATCTCAGTGACCAAATTGATAGATTTTGATCTTTGCATCTATGTTAGATTTGACAAGAAGAAGATGAGAAACCAAATCATCCAAACTGTAAATCCAAGTTAACCGTTGAGCTGAATAATAAGGCAATTAAAAAAGTACACTTCATGCTGTGTTTTCCCCCCTTTTTACTCCCTATTTTTTATTCTCTCTAGTAATATTAAAGAGTATTAAAATATAAGTCCTCATATTTGGATGGTATCATATCGTATTGTATTGTATTGTACTGTATCGTTTGATGAATACAATATTTGGATGGATTGTGTCGTTTTGGCGTCGTTTCATGGTATCACACACCTGTGATATGATGAATAAACTTGCAATATTATAAAGAAAAATTATGATACGGTATATAAAAAGGTAGGGTAAATGATAAAATAAAATTATTTAATAATAATGAAGGGTGAAATTGAGAGAAAAACACAAGGAAACGACGCGACAACACCAAATCGGTCGTTACATAAAGTGGCACATTTCATCGTTACGTAACAACGGATTTAACGATACGATACAATAAAAGTAACAATCAAAACAAACATTGTATTTAAGGTAACGATACGATACGATACGATATGATAGGTAACAACTATCCAAACAAGCTGTAACCAGCCAAGCCCCTCTTTTTAGGGCGTGTTTGTTATATTTTCTTAGAAAATAAGTGGTGTTCTTACTTATTTTCTAGTATTTGATCAAGTAGCAGCAGATATTTTTGAAAAATATATAATTTAGACAAACAACGAAATGGGCAAGGGCGAGGAGAGTAGTAAGTCGGGGTCTAAGGGCCAGAGTGGCGGTTGTGATATTAGGGGGTGCCGGGCAAGGGCGGATCTATATGGGAGGGGATGGGTTCATGTGAACCCATGCTCCCCTCCCTATACTATGTATAACACTTGTATTTTTTTATTTTTAATTCTTAAATAGGTATGCGTGAACTCATACTCAAGTGACCGCTTTGGCTTAACGATAAAGGAGTGCACCTTCGCCTTCAAGGTCAGGCCCAGGGGCGGCTCAATGATGTTTGTGGCCTAAAGCAAACTTTATTAAGATGCTTTAAGAAGCCTAAAGCAAATTTACATTTATTTATTTGTAATTTTTTTTTTAACTTTTTGACATACAGAATTCTTCATTTTCTTTGATTCATTACCATCTAACTCAATAAGATCGACTTGTTCATTTTAAAAACACTTTTCTATACTTTTTTATTAAACTTTAACTATTGTTTGAAAGAAATTTATCAGCAATACTTTTTGAGGTTGTATTAAAAAGTTATTCATATTTTGTTGTTGGCATGTTTAAGTTCTGTTTTTAAAAAAAAAAAAGTTAGAACGACTAAATCTGATTCTGAAAGTTGATAACTTGATGATTGATTTCAAAATAAACTAATCCATGAGAGAGTTTCACTTCTTCAATTTGCTTATTTAAATGCTTGAAAACATGAGAAAGAATATGAAAATAAAGGTGCAATTCGAATTAGAGTAAGACATGCTTTCTTATTTAGCTTCACTTATTCATCTACTTTAGAGTAGTCCGTTAATTAATTATCTCGCACTATTTAAAGCTAACACTTAATAAATTTGTATCCCGACAACTACGTGAATAATGCTAAATATATTGAAACATTCTAAAACTAGATGTTGATTAAAACAGAAGGAGTATTTTGTTTATTAGTTTTATATATATATATATATATATATATATATATATATATATATATATATATATATTTCTTAATTTATTTACTTCTATGTACACTACAAAAAATACTGTAATTAGCTACGAACGTCGTCGCTAATCTGTCGCTAAAACTCTCGTAGCTAACATAATTTCTTGATAATCCCTTGCTAATCCGTCGCTAAATGAGATTAGCAACGAATTTTTCTATTTGGCTACAGAATTTGTCCGTCGCTAAAACCTAATTTTTTAGCGGTGGTAGTTTTACTTTCTTTGGTGAAAATGATGGCTCCACGGTAGAATTTGTGGTAACGGGAAGCTTTGTACTTATTTTGATGGCAGTCATGGGAGACAATCCTGTGTGGGATTTGCTTTTAATGTTTGTTGTTCACTTTTAATTGTTGTTTGTGTCTTGTTGGATCTGTCACTATAATGGAATCTTAGGAAGGTTGGATCTGGTCTTGCCACGTAGACGTAGGCGTGAGTGTTATTGACGTCGGTGGTGTTTGTTAATTATGTGCTTTGCCATTGACAAATAAAAATTTTCTAACAGATGTATGGTAGCAAATTACTCAACATATTCAAGAGAATTTAGTAGCACGTGCATGAAATTGATGGATAGTGTGATTCATAATTTCTGAATTCGAACTTGAAAAATGAGTATTTAAAGTTGAGGTGGAAATATGTTTGTGTAATAGTTTTTGAATATAAATCTATTTGGAAACAAAAATTGTGATAATTGTGTATTGTGAATGAAAATCCGTATTGCACTAAAAAAAACACTTTCAAACTAATGTTTAATTTTTCTTTTGAAATTTAAATAGTGCAGTTTAATGTTACAAATACTCAATGATCAAACAGCACTACACATACTGAATTTCAGTATTTTCAATTACTAAAATAGTGAAACATGGCCAAACTGCTAATGATAGACTTGTATCCTTATCTCTGCTGCCTAATATTTATTTACATATAATTCTTCTAACCTTGGTACGTAACTTCATATTACTCTTATTCTCTAGATGATAGCAACCTTATATTCGACATTGATGTGCAAATTATTCAAAAAGAAAAAAATATTAGTTTAACAGGACCAGTAGTTTTAATTGCAATGATGAGTCTTGAATAAGAAAATGTACATCTCTCATCTCCACCCAAAAGAGGGGAGGGGGGGG